ATTTGTGCATAATTATATATGTTCTTTCCAGTACTCATTTTATCTAATTTAGTCAGATTATAGCATCATGAATTCGAAGTCAATAATATTTTTACATGACAGAAACTTGTCGTAAGTTAACTGCTGTCTTTGGATATTTTCCATATAGGAGGTCACCTGGAGTAGGGCGTGGAAGAGGAAGAGGTAGAGAGGATAGCTCTAAAGCAAAAGGCATTGGTCATGGTTTGGATGATGGAGCTGCTAAAAACACAGGAGGAGGTCGAGGCAGAGGTGGAAAATTCAAAATTTAAAATTTTTTTTTTTCACGGACTAGCGGGTTAACCGCGGCCTGTGAAAGTGCAACCCATGAAGCCCGTGGGTCACACCTCCTTGACCCGTGAACCGGCCGCTCTGATCACGGGTCGGCCCGCGGTCTCGGGTCGATCCGGGCCAATTTTCACGAGTCTGACCGGTCCGTCTGTTTTGACACCTCTATATTTAGTGCACGTTTGGAAACAAAAAACTACCAAAGCCAAACATACTCCTAATGTCATAATTAAAATTCATGCACTATTTATTTTAAATATTATTTATTTTTCAAATTAAAGGAGAACCAATTTCCAGATTACTTTTAGGTAATATTCGATTGAATTGACATTGGAGTTAGAATTGTAATTAGGAGATAATTTTTTTTTTTTTAAATGTCATATGTTTCAACTCCACTTATAAACTATCAATTTAAAAATAAATAAATAAATAAATATCATGACGCAAAACCATTTAGGGAATGGCCCGAAATTGGATTAGACTAGTTATTCCAATAGTTTTTCCAAATACCATATGACTTCTATATTGTAGCTTATACTTGATGGTCGATTCCCAATTTTTTTCTAGTGTGTAGTGAGCGCTTCAAGATTGAACACCCGTGATACGATTGATGGTACACGAGAAGGTAATAAAATCTTCCTCAATATTGCTCGGTAATTTCTAAACTACCATACCAAACGTGCAAAACGAATAGGGGTGCACATGTATGAGATATACCAGGCAATTAAACATGCATTTAACTATTCTTCTATCAATCACTAAAATTCTCAATACTTTTCAACCACACATTCTTCTATCAATCACTATTCCAAAATTTATTTTTTCTTCTTTTACCCACAGTTTGTCCTCGTAGTATGAGCCTTACTCATTCACGGAATTAAAGAAAAATCAAAAGGATAAAAGAACGTTGTTCTTTATTTGTCAAGCAATAAATGAAGGTTGTGGCATTTCCCATGGTGTGCTGGAATACTTGTTCAGAATTGAAGTGATATAATGTCGGTAACATTTAAGAGGGTGGTGTTACAAGGGATTTTTGTTCCCCCGATTAGTTCTGGTTCGAGTTTTTGAGGACCAAGAGTGCAAGAGTAGATAGAAAAGGAGCCGGTTGATGTCATTGGATCACTCAATGTTTCATTAAACAACGAGTAATGCTACTCAACACCAATGGGGGCACAGCCAGCATTATTCTTAAATAACACCAATTATGAAGAGGGTAGTCAAACCACTTAAAACAAACAGATAATAACAGTATATCCTTAGGAACAGCCAAAACCATAACACCAATTTGATTAAACATGCCTTGACTTGCATTCAGCAAAGAATGTGAGAAATCTAAGTATACAATTAAAATTTGGGAATCAAAGCATTACCTTAGCATAGAGGTAATGAGTGATTACTCGTCCAAGAAAGACATCATCAGTTGGAGATAAAAGATTATCTCCATATCAAGTTTTCAACAAAGTAAATTATTTATCATTAGTAAGTGAGATCAGATCATCCATGAATTCTAAGACAGTACTTGTTGTTTTTCATAACACTAATGCACAGATGAACATGGATTGTGGAACTTTAGAATAAACAATAAAGAAGAGTGCTTATGCACCACTTAAGTAAGTTCTACAATGATTTCAACTGTAACATGAATGAAAAAAATGTAGTCAATCAATCTTTCACGCAAAAAATATAATAAACAATTAACTACAAAAAAATTGACTTTTCTCAAGTATAAATGACATTTGTTAGAGTGTTACATCTTTTACACATTTCTCAGGATCAGGAAGAAGCCTGTGATTGATTGCCTTCAACCCTTTTCCGGACCATCGATTCACCAGAGCCACTTCAAGAGACCTCACCTGAAAAGATTTTGCTTTGACATATCAAAATATATTCCGTAATAAGCAGAATTTAAGCTCTACTTCAATGACTTGATTCGCCAAATGCAAAAGTTCCCAGGACAAACAAATCTTTAGGGTCTGTTTGTGTAAAATTATTAGTAACTTTTTAGGAGAAATAATAATGGATCTTACGAAAAGTGTGGTCTACAACAAAATACTAACAGACATATTCCTAGTGGATTTGAAGTCGGCTACATGAATCACTATCCATCACTTCGTTCGATCCATTGCCACATCTATCAAAATATCCTATGAATAAATTCTTTGTAACCACAATAAACCGTGCTCACTTCTTCATCTCACCATCTTTTAACTTGTCCTATTAGGAAACCATCTTGTAACTTGTTTATACGAGTTTCTTTAACCTATGCAAGACATGCTCCAGCTACACAAGTCGCCATTTTATCTACAATCTGTTTCTCATTATAACTGTATTTCAGTTCTCATTGTTCATTTTTCACTTGTCGGTTAAACTGTGAATGAATCTAGATAAAGACAGAGCATAAGATCAGGTAAAAAGAATAAAATAATACCCATGTTCAAATACCTATTTTTTTTCAGTTTATTTAATTTATTAATTTTTTCCAGGCACCTATTCTTTGTTGATATTCCATTTTAATTTTGATGCAACTAGTCTCCCATCCAATTGATTCATTATATACATATTGGAATATGTAATAATTTTAGCAACATATGTAAGCATGTAATCTCTTCGTGTAGTTATAGTATGTATGGAGGAATCAGACCTATAAACAGCACATTTAGCAATTAGAAAACTAAACCAACTCTGAAAGTCTATTGTGTAAGCCAGGTGGCAGTTTGAAAATTCTTAGAATTATGTAATTTTCTCTGCAAATATTAGCTAGTAGTAGAAGAGGTTCAATGAGATGGACCTCTCCAAAATGGTAATCCTGTAAATGATAGGTAAGTCATGACATGGGACTTTGCTGCTCTCCCAAGAGCTCTGAAGTAATAAAATATCGAATGAAGAGTTAAAATGTCTACTGAGAAAAACCATCATTCTGAGGCCGTTCCTATCCGCAGACTGCGGTTACAATTTCACTAGTATTTGGGAGAAAGTAAAAACTTGCAGAACAGCCTTTCAAAGCCAACTCAGATGATTCTACAAATAAATTGATTTAGAATTACTTAGGGTAAACCTAAGAGATTTTGGTAAGATGGAGCATAAGGGGGTTATATGCAAGCTTCAAAAAGTTTTTTTCACGCATTTGCATTGTGCAATAATCACTTATCAAATTTTTGGTGCTCTTTCCTTTATTAGTTTCAAGAAACAATATACATTCTTCACATCAAAACCAATCTCCAACATTATATGTCATTTTGTGAAGGAGATATTGTGGTTTCCCACGAAAAGCATGGAAGCTCTAGCCAGAGCTTGTGTCTGGAAATGTCGATTCTAACATCTTTAATTTAGCAGAACTTATAAATGTTGGAGTTTACAATATGCATATCTTCTGTAGTTATGCAATGTAAATGAGTTCATAATTACTTTGCGATCATCATGAGATGATCATCATGAGATGAGTGACTAAAAGACTTTGTAACACGAAGATGATAACACGGTGTCTCAGCAATCGGCAATTCACACTTACAAAAGAATTTTTCAGGTTCAATGGTACTATATTAAAGGTGAAAAGGGTTGCTCAGGCAGCACAGAAAGAAAAAGCTGAGAAAAACCAACCTGCTGTACGATCATCGGCTCCCCCTCAAGACTAAGTGGTTCAGTCAATATAGTGAAAAAACCATTTCTATTTCCATAAACAATATCCGTGAAGGGCCGATCACCCACCTATCATTTACATAACAAGTTTATTGTCCAATAAAATGATTAAACTAAAACAGACAAAACAGAAAAAGTAACAAGAGCATAGATTGATCATCTATACAAATCTCATTACCATGATAATTCTTGAAGACTCAGAACCAAAGTGCTTTTCAATTTCTTCAGCAGTTCCAGCTGGCTTCTTAACACCTAGATTGGACAAATAATCAAAGAAAACACTTAATCAATACTATTCCAGTGTCTAAATGTGAGCATTACCCTAATCTTGATTGATATATTTAACAGAGTCCACCAAATCAAATGCATACCCAAAACACAAGAAATTCGGGAAATAAGACAAGTTAAATGACAGCTTTCTAGCTGATGAATCGAAACAAAACTTACTATGCCTAATCACTTTTATCCCGATTGCATCCTCAAGAGCTTTAGCTTTTGCACCATCAGGGTCATACTCATATAATCCTAAAAGTTCACAATGTAATAAAAAAATCAGACAATTGATTAAACAACACTAACAACCCATCAAAACAATAAAATGAGCAAAAAATTCTAAATAGGTTTCATCAAAATTACCTGCAGAGTTACTGAACACTGCAATGTCATTACCAAACAATGATTTACACTGCTCTATGGATGATCCAAGGGGCGCCCACAAGCTCAAAGAGTAAGGAAGGGTAATAGTATTATCCTTATCAAAGACCACACCTTTAAACCCTCTTTTCTTCAATTCACCCCAATCAACATACCGTATATCAGGCACAGAAACATGTGGGATTGCCAAGTGCTTGTCTTTGGACAAAATTCCCACAGAAGAAGCAACACCTTTCAAATTAATTCTTTGACCCAAGAAAGCTTTGAAATCTGTCCACCACATCTTTGATGAAATGCTCAAAAGGCTATCTATATCACTTTCTGGTTCCCTTTCACTCTCCCTAAATTGGGCCTTTGGGTTCTCAATTGAAGAGTAAAAATCTTGGCATAATTTGGGATTTTCTTGATCTGGGTCGTTTTTCGGATAACGCTTCTGATTCTTTTCCTGATCTTCGCTACAACTTTTTGTTGCGGTAAAAGTGAAGAAACTGTTATTTATGCAGAGTTGTATTGATGGTCTTAAAGAGATTTTCTTCTTGTTTTGGAGGTGGAGATTTGGGGAGAACAAATATTTAGGTACAGGATAATAGCAGCAAGTATGCCATGGAGCAATTGAAGTGGACAGCATAATCAGTTGAACATAGATTTTTGTAATAATTTATTTTTTGGAACAATTAATGAAGATGGGGTTTGGTTTTTGAGGATTTTCAATTGGCAAGTTGGGCTTCACGCTAAATGCCACGTTTCTTGTACTATTCATATGGATGCTAATTATGTCAATTTTTGTTTATGGTTATGATGGCATATGCCTAGCCCAATAAGAAAATATACCTCTCAATGGAGCCCAATTAAGTTCATTGTGATCTAATAAATACTGATTTTTTTATTTTTTTTTGCTATATTGCAAAATTAAAACATAAATCCAGTTTAAAGGAAAATACGATGAATTTCGAGAATTCTTTCTTTTAATAAGTTACAATTAGTGTAACATACGCTCTTTGTAAATTCTATTAACGTGTATATAACTTTTTTGATAATTTGAATTCGGAAATGCTAGTTTAGTTATTAGTTACCAATTGTGATACAATGATCGATTTATTATTATTATTATTATTATTATTATTATTATTATTATTATTACACACTGTATAATTATCATATTGTATCCTTGCATTGTTTAATTTTTCAATTGTAAATTTACATGAATAACCATGTTATTATAACCCTAGTTTTTTATTTTGTTAATTATATATTTACGTGATCGTTTCTGTTTAGTTAAGAACTCCGATAATGTATAACATAACGTCGTTAGAATTGACGAAAGTGATAATTGAGATCAAAACAACGAATACGTGTAAAAAGTTAGTGCTATTGAAGCTGAAAAAATAGCTAGGAAGCTAAAGTTATAGAACTCGCAATTTATTAAAAGACAACATTTTATATTAAGCACCGCAAATTTCACAAGACTAGAGCCGCCTGCCTCCGCGCCACCATAAACCACGACATGCAAAGCCCTAACCTTCTTCATCATTGTACCATCATCTCTAGTATTGTCGCTGCCACCAACCCCACCAAAAAGAAATAAACAGAAATCGTCAAATTTTGACAATACACCATCTCCATCACCGTCACCATTGCACCACCATCACCATTCACCACACAATCGAACCACAATCACCATCATCTAGTCATATCCCATGCTCATTCATAGTATATTCTACATTGTTGTAGCTAATTATAGTCCCTTAAGTTTATAAAGTTTTTAAATTGGCTAATGTCATCAAAGCTTCATCAAATTTCCACAAGCAAATAAAATGACGTGCCCAATTTTCTTTTGGAAACTTCATTGAATTATTGTAGCGACGGAAGAGATAGTACTATCACGTTCATGTGAACCTTTCATCTTGAATGTTTATTTTATTTTATTGATTTTATTTTCCTCGATGGTATAAAATTAGAATTTCCAATTTTCAACAAAATGAACTTATGATGATCAATATATAGACTTTGCGCGTTACTATTTATGAAACTTCCAACAATCAAACCTGTGACTTTTAAGAGTTATTATTAACGAGTGCTAAGGCCATATTGTTCATATATTGGATATCAGACAAAATTAATGTACGTATCAACATGCCATCAGAGGTTACTGTGCATGTTTGATATGCAATATCATCTTTGGTACATATTAAACATGAATGGATAATATCGTCTTTTGTTTTGTAGCCATCAGTAGTTTTCTCCCTCCCTCTAAAAAACATAAAAAATGTCAGTCAATGAACAATTAATTCATCATAAGGTTATTACCAATATTTTGAAATAAAAAGCAGGAACGCGTTAAAGAGGATGTCAACCATTTCTGTTAGGATAGACATCGTCCAACGGGCAACCAAAAAGGCATGCTACCACCTAATCTGAATAAAATCAACATTAAACGTAGCTGTATGCAATAGTTTCTCTCCCATCCTAGGAAACTCCTTTGGAACATGTTAACTTTGTCTAGCTTTTTTTTTTTTCATCTATATGAACCCTTGATCACAAAATATTTCGGGATTCGGCTTAGTCACCATTTCTGACTTAGGGATGGCTAAAAAATTCGACAAATCCGATACCCACAGGGCCCGCCCCAAAAAGGGTCGGGATAACCCGCTTAATTGGGTATTCGGGCCGGGGACGGGTAACGGGCACCCCGCTAGATCCGCCCCATTTAATTTTTTTTTTTTTTTTAGAATTCAATATTTTAAATAAAAAAATTTCATGAAATTTCATTAGTTTTAATAGAAAATGACAACTAAGATTATCTAAAAAAACGAATTAAAATTTTTATTATTTTTTTAATTCAATATTTTAAATAGAAAATTTCACGAAATTTCATTAGTTCTAATAGAAATTGACAACTAAAATTATTTGTCTAAATCTAATGAATATGGACAATAAAAATAAATTTTATATATATATATATAACGGGACAAGGACCCCGCCCTACCTTCTTTTCTTTAACTCCCTCGAAAGCCACAAAAATGTCGTTGTTTAATTGCGCTAGGGCTCCTTGGCACTCAACGTTCAACACAAATAGAACGCGATTCACATATTTTGTCAAAAAACTCATTATTATTTTCAATCACAATGAGTATGGAACAATTCACCCAACAACTATTTTAACCAAACATCATATTACCATACAATAATTACTATTAACCTGATAGAATTTTAATAGAAAGTTAGCATATAAATATTTTTCAATCTCTAAGAGCAAGCAATATTCTTTCAAGATATTAGCATAAATTGTATTTCTTAATGAGCAACAATAAATTATTATTTGAAGTATTGCATTATATAAGAATTTGCTCTTCAGGGAGCAAATGAATTATATATTTTTGTAAAAATGTTAGATCTTATAAAATTATGATCTTCAGGAGCAAACAACATGATATAAAAAAGCAGACAAAAGCAATTTATCGACATTCATAGGATGTGTTAAAATCAATGTTATAAAAATCATATTAGACCGACCAATTCAATCGGAAAATCCGTGAATCGGCCTCTAATCCCATCCGGTACTATACATTAGCCAGAAAATAAAGAACCGGCTAATAAACCATCAACCCGGCTGCGATTTTCCAATTAATCTAGTTAATATATATTTTTTTTCACAAAAGCAATTAACTATCTTGACGGGCAAACTATTGCAATAGAAGACCCAAATAAATGAGACTCTTCTTTCAATATTATAGTAATCTTTCAATGTGGGATACTAGCTCTTTTTTAAAGGAGACTCTCCTTCCAATATTGTAGTAATCTTTCAATATGAGATACTAGCCAACTATCAATTCTAAGTGTTAACTAGTTTACTCCATTATTTTCCTTAACAAATCATAACCCCCAATAAGATTATAGTCACAAATAATTTCAATTTGAATAAAGCAAATTATTTTGGAAATATTAATTGTTTGTCTTTTGGGTTATAAAATAAATTGTTATAATAAATCTAATTAACAAACATGGATTATATTTATTTTTAAATAGTAAACTAAAATTAAAAAATCTTTTACATTTATGATATTTTATAGTTTATTTCTGTATTTATTTAATTAGTTTGTCATCGAGTTCGACCATTTAACTCTTGACTCTCTTCCCTTTTCGGGTCGATACCTAGATCAGTTTTTAAAATATTGGTTAAAATATTTTTCATCATGATAGAAAAGGAAAATATAGTATATGATACATAATATGAAATTATGTTTATAAATTTTAGTCCATTACAACATTATGTACCATCAATATATTACAAACATCAAATTCATCCCTTTTTAGCTTTTGTGAACTAAAATATCATAATAAAAATATATATTTAGGCACCTAATTGACGTGCAAATAAAAATAATTGTATATGCAACTAGATATTTATCCTTCTAGGATGTTATATTCTTATATTGTGTTTCTTCAAGAACAAAACCACACTCTAAAAAATATAATTATACTTCTTCCGTATTACACATATAATTTTTTTTCCTAAAATATATATGAAGTAATACAGTTGTTCTCATTCAAGAACAACACACTATTTTCTATAATATTTATATGTTTAAATTTTACACCCCTTCTGTCCTATAAAGATATATTTGATTTCTTTATTAATTTATCTCAAATTATAGTCCACTTTCCTTATGAAGTTATAGTTGATTTCTTAATTTCTAATATACTCATATTTAATATGTCTTATTATCAACAAATATGAACTAATGCTATTTAAACAATTATTCAAGGTAGGGGTATATTAGGAAAAATATAAGTAAAATTTATTATTTCAATTATATTAATTAAATTTTCTTAGTGTGGAAATGGAAGAAAGCATATCTTTATGAGAAGTGGAATACTCTATATAAACAAAGTTGTGCTCCTTTAAGAGCAACGACGCGATATTTGTCTATAATTTTTATATGTACAAATTTCTACTCTACAAGAGCAACAATATTCTTCTGGAATACTGATTTGTATAAGATTGTGATTATTCAATAACACAAAATAATATTTCTCAAAAATATGATATATATTGTGCTTATTCTTGAGCAATAGTGTAACTAGGGATGGAGTTGAAATAAAAGAATTGTAAGGGAAATTTTCACAAAATTTTAATTATGGGGGCAAAAGTTGAAAATATTGGGCAAAATTTGAAAAAAATTAGTAGTCGAATAGTATATTTTTTTAGGTAATCATTATAACGATAGAATTATAATAAAGTAAATAACAAATACTAATGGTATAAAATCAAGAATACCATCCTTTTCTTTTGGATAGAGAAGAGAAATATCTTACTAATTCAATTGGTTGAAACTTCTTATCTCTCTTTGATCGAAAGAAGAATAATTTTCTTTTCTATCTCAACTTGCTAGATACCTATGATGATAACATATTATAAATTAGAGAGAAATAGAAGAAAATAGATAGAGACAATAAACTTGCGTGTATATTATCAAGAATCAAAGTCATATACTCACACTTAAGAATTAGAATTGAAGGGTGCAATGATCATTCATATATAATAATTAATATAGTTGTTTTATGATGCTATTAATAAAATATTTTTGTTCCACAAACTATTGTTACGATAATTATGTCACGTGATTTTTAGAGATATCACATCATCAATAATTCAGTTCAGTAGTTGTATCTATTAAACTTACATTGTTCGACAGTTAGGTTTCATCTGTCCCTCCTAAGTCGTACGTATGGGGATTTATTCTCCTCTGCTTCAGTGAATTGATTAATAGAGAAAATGAAAAGGAAATTATTCAAACTACCATAAAACTGAATAGTCAACCAAAGGAAATTACCCTCCCTATGAAACACGCCATTAACAACCTAACGTATTGACATTTTCAAAGCATCATCAGTTTATCTAGATGCCATTTTCAATAAATTGCAACTTCTGATGATGACAGAATTGACTTTATAAATAAACGAATTATTCTACTCTCTTAGAGTTTCAAATTTTTCATTACCATGGTCTAACAAGAACAGATATAATCATACAAGGGTCATTATGAACATTTTATCTTAAAAATGATGTCAGCGACGACGAAAAATGAATCATCTAACTGTCCCCAAAGCTTAATTGGTTGTTGTAATGGCCCATATAGAAATTTTTAAATGAAAGATAAAGGAATCTTGAAATGAATCGAGACAAAGGGTTGTTAGATTCTGCTAAAAATTGATGAAATGTGTTAGTAAAATTAAAATTTAACTAGCTAATTGGTAAACTTTTAGCGGAGTTTTATTAAACAGGTACAAAGTCGATAAAGGACTCTTGAAATGAATAGAGACAAAGGGTTGTAAGTCAAATCTTTCGATAAAGGATTTGTAGTATATTCTGCTTAAAAAATGATGAAATGTATTATTAAAATTAAAGTTTAACTAGTTTATAAACTTTTAGCAAAGTTTTATTAAACAAGCACAAAATCGAAGCTATATCTCACTTTGGTATTGTTATTGGCTCCAAAGCTTAGTTAATTGTTGTCGTGGTCCTTGAGGAAATTTTGTTTACACGATCAAGGACTCTTGAAATTAATCGAGAGAAAATCTAGTATGGCATATTTCACTTTTGTCCTATCATTTGAATAAACTGGAACAAAAAGGTCATTTCAAATGATATGCGTGTGAGGTCAGGTGGTACCATAATATTTTAGGCATGAAAGCTGTCTCTGTACCCAGGGTCCTGCCTAATATTTATATATTCAACAACCATTGGCTTCGTATGAAACCGTCCTACTCGGCTTTGCTTTAAAGTTCTTAAATAAACCATTGAATTCTCTTCCACTGTATCACACAGCTGGCCTGGAAAATGAATTTTCTTGCAGCATTGTCAAAAATTAATTATGATTAATGCAAATTTTCCCTCTATATAAAGCAGTCTTTGATCAACCACTTCACAACACAAAAATCTAAATTCTTTCTCTCCCTCCCCCTCTATTTATATCGCTTTCTCACTGTAAAATTGAGGAAAAAAAATGTTATCTGCAATGATCCATCTCTCAATAGTATTATTTATGACTTTTCTAATGGCGGCCTCGGCTGCTAACTTCTACCAAGATGTTGACATTACTTGGGGCGATCAACGAGCTAAGATACTCAATGGCGGCCAAGATCTTAACTTATCCCTTGACAAATTATCTGGTTCGGGTTTTCAATCCAAAAATCAGTTTGTTTTTGGAAGATTTGACATGCAACTGAAGCTCGTACCTGGAAATTCAGCTGGAACTGTTACAACATTTTATGTGAGTCTTACATGCTTTCAGAATTTCATTTCTACTGGATTTTTATTGTGATATATATCGTTTATGAAGAGCTAATTTATTTGTTCCATTAATTTGCAGTTATCTTCTCAAGGAACTGAACACGATGAGATTGATTTTGAGTTTCTTGGAAATGTTTCTGGCCAGCCATATACCGTTCATACCAATGTTTATTCTAAGGGAAACGGCAATAAAGAACAACAGTTTCGCCTTTGGTTCGATCCCGCTACATCTTTCCACACCTATTCTGTTGTTTGGAACACACAACGCATCATGTAAGCTTCTACAATTCTTATGTTTTACGCGAAAAGAATTGTATTACAATATTCGAATAACCTGACCAATACATAAAACTGTGCACAAGATAAACTGTGCACAAGATGGAGTTTCGGTGAAAAAATTAATATGATCACTAACACGTAAGGAGAACGTTTTAAAGACAAACTTTATACTCCCTCCATCCCATAAAAATATTCCTATTTTCCTTTTTCATCAGTCCCAAATTATAATCTTATTTCTTATTTGAGAATATAGTTAATATATTAGTTTCGTAATATGTCAATATTTAATGTAATTTTTATTACAAATATAAATCACTTCATTATTCAATTGTAATAGTTGGAACAATAAATTAAAAACCAAAAAACCATTTCATCTTCCATGATATTTATTTGTTTGTATTTGTATTGGATAACTTTGGAATGTTAATTATCTTGATTCTTGCTTAAAACAATGACCGGTAACAAGAATAGTTTAATTATCTTGAGCATGCATAATTTAATGAATTAAGTTAAATGAACATAATGCTTGACATAAGGGTTGACTGACCACTTACATTATATGTGGGTCCCAACCTGAATTAAATAATGCCGACCTCCCTATGTGTGTGTTGTGTCATCCCCTCTGTCAAGCATTATGTTTGGATAGCAAAACTCTAATTTAATTGCCCTGAATATTAATTGAATTAATGTAGGGGTATATTAGGAAAAATAGTAGTAAAATTTATTATTTCAACTATATTAATTACATTTCTTAACATGTGTGAAAAAAATGAATATGACTATCTTTATGGAACATAGAGAGTAATAAATAACCTCATGGAAACTCAACGTAAATGGGATTTATTAGGCAATAAGAAAGTAGGAAGAACATAAATGGGATTTCTCCACTGATAAATGTTTTATCTGTGTGAGTTTCCAGTTTCTTGGTGGATAATATCCCTATAAGAGTATTTACCAACCATGAAGCCATTGGGGTTCCATATCCCAACAGCCAACCCATGAGGGTATATTGCAGTTTATGGAATGCAGACGATTGGGCAACACAAGGTGGGAGAGTCAAGACTGATTGGACAAAAGCTCCATTTATTGCCTCCTACAGGAATTTTAATGCAAATGGCTGCGTATCTGGATCACCCGGCACATCTTGTGTTTCGGAAACTGGTGAATCTTTAAACAATGAGGCATGGAAAACTCAGGCACTTGATGCCAATGGCCGGAATAGGCTGCGATGGGTACAACAAAACTATATGATATATAATTATTGTACTGATATTCAAAGGTTTCCTCAAGGACTTCCACCTGAATGCAAGCGTTCAAGGTTCTAGGATTAATTTTCTTGGCGTCTATATATTTTCTTTGTTTGTAAACTGCAGTTTTGTCAAATTCTTTGATTTTACGCTGTAAAAGATCTGAATAAAAAACTTTATGTTTTTCACTTCACATTAGGTCCCCATAACAGATGGAACTCAAATTTTCTGTTAAGAGATAAAAATCCCACATCGAATAAAAATAAAAATATAAACTAGCTTATAAAGGAGTCTGTTACTCCTCTTAATAAGATTGACCTTTAAGATAGAACCTCAAATCTTGACATGATATCAGAGCTCGTTAGGCTCTAACGAGCAATTCGATTCGATTAAGATTCAAAGAAATTGAGCACACGAATTTCAAGATTGACTTGCTTGAAACGAGCCACCATCTTGCAGGAACCCCAAAGTTGGACATTTTATGTGCAAAATTAACATTCATAGTTGTTAGAGGACTTAATTTAAATCTCGAGCTAGATTGTTGGAAATGGTTAAGCGTGAATCAAGAAATTGCCCTCCTTTATTAAAGGGAAAAAGTTCAAAAATCAGGTGTTTGGAATGATGCAAATCAATATTCAGATTTTAAGTTTCAAAATTCATAAATCACGTATTAGTTAATTAATTAAATATATATTTATTAATTAAATATATTAATATCACAATTATAGAATTAATGGTCACAGATTGTTCATAGTTTATTTGCAGGTCAAAGATTTCCAAATTAGTTTGTCACATATTTTTTAATGGTCACATATGAAAAAATTTGTAGGTCACAGTTAATTCGTCGGTCACAGATTTCAAAATTTATACGCCACGCAGTCAAAGATTTCCAAACTAGTTAGTCACATATTCTTTCACGATCACAGATTATATAATTTTTAGGTCACAGATAACAAAATAGTTGGTCACAAATTAACCAATGCCGCCACCACCACGAACGCCAAAGAAACGTACCATCGCCTCAAAAAATGCACCACCTCCAAAAACGAAGCAATGACAGCACCACAACACCACCACCACCACCACTAGATCTAATATACAGCCAACAAAAATCATCACAACCACCACTGCCATTGCCACCGTCGCCACCATTTTGCAACCCACCAATAACAACTTACATCACTACCATCGCACCACCAACACCACTACCACCTCACCATCACCTGCACCAACACTGTAGCACTACCATATCTGCCACTATCTCAAATCCCCAACCACCCTAAAATCACCCAAAATAGTTCAACAGTAGCCTTGTAGCGACGGGAGCTCTTACCTACTGTAGCAGCGGCAACTGCAATGCCTTTGCCGGCTTTCACAACACGGGCTGTGAGGGAGAAACACAGCAACGTAGCCTCTGCCGACTCTCACAACACCGGCTGTGAGGGGGAAACATCAAGCGGTGTCTTCCGCTGAGGGTGAGGGTAGAGAGAGAGAGAGAGAGAATATGAAGAGAAGGAGAGGAATGAGGATAGAAGAAAAATGATTTAGAGTTTGTTTGGGATGAGATAGGTGGGTATAATATTTAATTATTAATTCAATACCTGATTTTTGATTAAATAAAATTCAAACTTGAATTTTGAATTTGAAAAATTAAATGTCTAATTTTTTGTAATTTCCTTTATTAAAGTATGAAGGAAGGAATGACGGAAGCAGGACTGTGCAGGTTATGAGTTTCCAAGTTTTAAACCATATTTGAGCCCAATTATTTAAATTTTAAACACCAATAATATTACGGGGCATTTTAAAAAATGTCCACTTTTTTTGGTGTCATTTGAAAAATGTCCACTATTTTGTACCAAATTGCCCATTATGCCCTTAATGGAAAAATGAAGCAATTTATTTTTTTCCAATTTTTCACAAATTCCGAGAAGTATCTTTTATGAGAAGCTACATTCAAATGATATTCTCGACATTTCAAATGTCGTTCTTGACATTTATACTCTATTTATATTTTAAAAGTACACATGTCAAACTATAATATTAAATGTTCTCGACATATTAAATGTCTAGAATGACATTTTATTCTGAACATGACATTTCTCTACATTTGAAATGTCGTTCTCGACATTTCTGTGTCAATGAGAAAAATTGCATTTATTGCGATTTGACAATTGTACTTTTGAAATAAATAGGTTAGGGCTATGTGTCAAAATTTTGTTGACTAATAAAATTTTTAATAAATTGGACATTTTTGTGTTTATGTGGATTTATAAATTGTTAACAAGGGTATTTTGATCTAAATTCTTTCAAAATGAAAATTTTTGCAATGGTGAACATTTTTGCAAATGAACACAAAAAAGTGGACATTTTGTGAAATTTTCTCTAATATATAGCAATGTTCTAAATAGTGCAAAGCGTAGCGTAGCGTCAAGGCCAAAAATCAAGAATCATAAGTTTAAACGTGTCAATGCGAAGAATAAGCGTTATAATGCGTTTCGTATTTTTAATATTATTTTAATAATTTTTAAGATATTAAATATATTTTTATATAAAACATAGATTTTTTTTTAAGGGGAAAAAAATGGGGGATAAGGCATGCTTAAGCGCGCTATAGCGAGATAAGGCGCGCTAAAACTTGCTTATTCGACGCTTAAGCGCGCTATAGCACGCTATAGTGGTCAACAAAAAAGGTTGACCGCTTTTTTTGTTCGAATATCCCGAAGCGGAGCGTTTTCGCCTCGCTACGCGCTATAGCGGCACTATTTCCCGCTATTTAGAACACTGATACATAGTATTCCTTCTACCATAGTTATGTCCTTTCTTATTTTGTATCTTTTCAAAGTACAAATTCAACCAAAATTTCAAAAGTTGTGATCTTTAGGGCATGCTTGGGAGTTTCGGAGAACCTGTTATGAGCATTTTTTTAAAGTATCTAATTTGAACGTTTATGATCGAATCAATTTTGAATGATTTTAGTAACGATTTTCAAAATTTGTGACCTTTATGGCCTACATGGGAGTTTCGGAGTACCAGTTATGATTTTTTAAAATATTGATTTTGAGTGACTTTAGTGGAGATTTTTAAAATTGTCCAATTTGTACTTAGAATTTTATTATCCACCGGTCCTGAAGTTTTTTTAAAAGAATAAAATTATATATTTATCATTAGCAAAATNGCGTAATGCGTTGCGAAGCGTCGAGGTCGAGAATCAAGAATCACAAGTTTAGGCGTGCCAATGCGAAGAATAAGCGCCATAATGCGTTTCGTATTTTTAATATTATTTTAATAATTTTTAAGATATTAAATATATTTTTATATAAAACATAGATTTTTTTTTAAGGGGAAAAAAATGGGGGATAAGGCATGCTTAAGCGCGCTATAGCGAGATAAGGTGCGCTAAAACTTGCTTATTCGACGCTTAAGCGCGCTATAGCACGCTATAGTGGTCAACAAAAAAGGTTGACCGCTTTTTTTGTTCGAATATCCCGAAGCGGAGCGTTTTCGCCTCGCTACGCGCTATAGCGGCACTATTTCCCGCTATTTAGAACACTGATACATAGTATTCCTTCTACCATAGTTATGTCCTTTCTTATTTTGTATCTTTTCAAAGTACAAATTCAACCAAAATTTCAAAAGTTGTGATCTTTAGGGCATGCTTGGGAGTTTCGGAGAACCTGTTATGAGCATTTTTTTAAAGTATCTAATTTGAACGTTTATGATCGAATCAATTTTGAATGATTTTAGTAACGATTTTCAAAATTTGTGACCTTTATGGCCTACATGGGAGTTTCGGAGTACCAGTTATGATTTTTTAAAATATTGATTTTGAGTGACTTTAGTGGAGATTTTTAAAATTGTCCAATTTGTACTTAGAATTTTATTATCCACCGGTCCTGAAGTTTTTTTAAAAGAATAAAATTATATATTTATCATTAGCAAAATTTTCAGTTTATAGTTTCTTATATAAAATTTTTGTTCTCATACATGATATTTTACGTATAGATAATTTATTTACATACAAGTCTATATTTAACTTAAAAAATTAAATAAAGTTTAATATTTACTTAAAATTATAATTTAATATTATACTTTAAATAATCTTAAGTGATTTTTTTACTAATAACTTTTTATATTTTATAAATGAATTTTTGTCTCATTAGTTGTACTTTTATTTCATAAACAATTTTTTTTACATAAATGTATTTTTTTTATTTATGAGTGATTTTTAATTGTAATATAACTTTTCTTATCTTATAAGTAATATTTTAATTATACGTATTCTTTTTATTATAATATAATTTTTTTGCTTATAAATAATTTTACTATTTATAAAATAATTATTTTCAACCAAGCAAAAATTAGAAGAGAATATGAGAAACGACAAAAAACTGTTGATTTAATGGAATGGGAGAACCGATCAAAATTACACTACACCGATTTTGGGTAGTTTTTAAACCATTTAAAATCGGTGCCCAAAAATACTAGTTAGCACCGATATTTGTAACACTTCATAAACGATGCCATTTAAAATCGGTGAAAAAAAAACTCTCAAGAAGCCCTTAGGAATTGCTGTGGCCCTTGAATGAAAGACAACATTCAAAGGTTATAGAGATGAATAATCTTATTCTATTCCCTCTACTTTCTTTAGAAATAAACCCTTCTTTTGTGTAAAATTTGAAACGTTAAAGTCGAAGTTTCAATGATAAGAAATGAGTTTTGTTGTCTTGTTTCTATGTGATTGAGGTGCTGCATCCATATAAATGAAAATTCATTCTATTATCAAAGATAATTGCTCGTAACATTGAGTAATATAGAGGGAACAAAATTGTCTTATGAAGATTGGGAATTAAATAGGCTTGGATTATAGTCGGATTAGTTTTTGTAAGTTGTATTCAATTTTGGTTATTGTTTCTATATGTTATATTTGTTTGAATGAATAAATATTGAAGTATAACATTTTGAGATTGCATGAAATACAAGATATCTAATACCTTTAGCTTAATGTTTTTGAATAAACATGGACTACCTTATGAGAATCAAATGTCCAATGTATACCTATGGAAACCAGGAAAACCCCT